AAACAGTTATTACTTTGGAAAATGTTTTTCCCCCTGTTCTATAAATAGCCAAAGTTCCAGGGAAAAGAATAACATGCAATATATACTTTAAAAGACACGACCTAGTGTCAGAGGGTAGATTGTATAGGGTGGTTTCAGGATGACTCCGCGCTTGTCTCCGCGCCTGGGATTCTGGCGTGGACACTTAGCCAAGAGGAGGGCAGTGAGCCAATGATTTATGATGTGCTGTGTGAAGTTTGGAGTCTGCTGGTGTCAGGCAGGACCAGTTTGTTTATCGACGGCTTAAGCCTGGTGTAACTGGTTGGACAGCCTGGTGTGGCTACGTGACCGCGAGAGACATGAAAGCCCCTGATGGAAACTTGGAAGTACTGCTCCCAGAGCAGAGATGCATCACATGCAGCTCTTGGCAGTTCAGTCTGGAGACAAAGTGCACCTTGTACAAATAACGAGGACACTGGGAGCTACATGAGGAAGCGGCTTGCGCTCCCAATGCTTGCTTGGACTCTTTCTCCTTCCGCACTACTTCCTTTGTCTTGACTTTTAAAGATGTCAGGGAGGCCTGCTAAGTGTCCCAGTCATACAACCAAACGACGCAGTCCTTGTCCCGATAACGCATCCCCTACCGCAAACTGTTCTTTTTGTAAAAGTTAAAGAGGAGGCAGCCTCAGAATTCTATTTCAGTGAGGCCCCCAAATTCTGTTAACAAATGTAAGCAGGGGCAGCCCCCCATCCCTGGGACAGTGTCAACGTACCCAGCAGTTGTTCATGAGGAGTAATTGCCCAGGGTGCCTGGTGGTGCTGGCGGTTAAGCTTGGTTTCGGCTCAGGTCATGATCTCAGGGTTGTGAGATCAAGCCCCGCATGGGGCTCCATGCTCAGTCGGGAGTCTGCCTGAGATTCTCTCTCTCCCTCCCCTCTCCCTGCTCCCCATGCTTGCTCTCTTTCTAAAATACATAAATAAATACAAAAAAAGAAAAAAGAAAAGAAGTTGCCCCTCCTGCACCCGGAAACTCAACCGGGTCTCCCAGTTCAAACCACCACAATTGGTCATTCTATGGACAGGGGTGCAGAAGTCATATTTGTGAAAGAAAAAGAACTCTCTCGTTGAGCGGGAAGTGAGGATCAGTCCACCAAGCTCTGAATCTAAGAGTCTACTTCTAGGTACCCCCTCCCCCATACACATCATCTATCTCAAAGACTGTGGGTCTAAGTCAGAGACCCTCACGACCTTCCAAGGCACGTCAGCAAATTTAGGACAGAATCCTCCAATCGTGTCTGGGTAGAGAAACATTTGGGGTGGAAATTTCCCAAAATAATGTACCAGGACATCCAGTTTAGGAAGACAAGATCCCCCAGAATCCCTGCCCCCACAATTCACAGTCCGGTCCTCTAGCCCAACAGAGCTTTCCTCATGTATAATCTGGTCTCCAGCAGAGGCATTCAAATTTCTCCAGGCTCCACCAGGGATCGAGTATCAGGGCACAAACGTCGGATCCTCACCGCTTTGGAGTGAGCCTCAGATGCCCCCTTCTGCTTTTCCTGAGCCCACTCTATGGACATGTCTGGGGAAGGCTCTGCTCCCTGAATCTACTACAGACCCACCCCTCTGGCTGCTATTTAACCACTCGTTCACTCCATCATGACCACCTGCCTGTTATCCTGTCCACCCAAAACATCACCGGCACACAGCCAGGCTTGCCACCGCCCTCGAGGATTCTGACAGTCCTGGCTCGATCTTGCCCTGTCTTCTCACGGCCTTGTCCTCCACCCCACCACCTGGCACCCTATGACTCAGAGGCCCGTGCGTCCAGACAGCATCCTGGCCCCGTAGCCTGTCCTTCCCACTTGCTTAGGTGCTGGGATGGACTCCCGGGGCCTGCAAGAGCCCAAGCGCAGGGCCTCCTTCTCGGGGATCCTCCCAGCCCCTGAAAACTCCGATTGAGCCACAGAGTCACTGTTCTTTAAAATACCGCTGGCTCTTTCTCTGAAAGCAGGCAGCTCAGGGGAGGACACAGGTTCTCCTAACTTCTGTTTTTGTTCGTTAGTGTTTGGATGGGAGGGGATCCAGTTGACTTTTCCTTCAGGACCCCCTGTATCCTAGGAGAAGGGGCGAGAGCTGAGGAACGGTGATCCAGACTCTCCAAGGAAGAGGCTCTGGGGTCAGTCCCGGTCCCCACAGGATGGCTGCAGGCCACCTGGGTGGACAGAAAAGCAGCGAAGGACTTTAACACACACACAATAAACAGAGCTGACTTAATTCTTCCTCACTGTTGTGGAGGGCAGACATAGATCATTTTTCCGCCCAATGTCTTCCTCTGAAGCTCTGCAAGGCGCCTCCAGCCGAGCATCCATGGGGACGCCGGGCAGCCCGAGGTGTCCTATGGTGGCTGATGCAGACGTCTGCGCCCCGCGCCGGGCACGCATGGACACCCCGGGCTCACGGACGCCTGGCAGGGCGCTGACTGGATGAGCACATTGGAGCTGAGACGGTTGCAGTATGAGAAATCCATGTCTGTTATACGCATACTCATTTAAAATGGAAGTTTAATTCAGGTCCTGTGTCCAGATGGTAGAACGCTGAATAAATTCCTTAATTTTCAGATTATCAGCTGCTTTCATACTTCTCATACTTCTCACTTCTCATACTTCTCATGATACTAAGTCTATTTACTGCTTGAATATCTGGCCAGTTTTAGGTGTTTTATTTTGAGACATTTATGGAATTTTACCCCCAACAAATGTATTTGGTAACAAAACTTCCACCCAAGTGTGAAATTGCAGTATTGTTAAAGATGTAAATTAAGTACGATTTCAGATGTTTCTCAGAAATTTGTGTGACTTACAAAAAAAAAAAAATCAAAGTTCTCATTATACCATTTGTCTTGGTTTCAGGAGCCGAGCTCTGAAGTATGAAGGGCTTGGGCAATCCTGGAAAATGCAGTGCCTCAGGTCTTACTCCCAGCCGGGAATGCACCAAATTCTCAAGCATCAGAAACGAAGCGTTTGACTTCTTAACTTGCACTTTCACAGGAAACACAGAGAATGAATGTATTAGATGCATCGGTGATGTTTTGTAATTATGCTTAAACAGATTTCAGCTTGTCTCTAGCCTGCTTCTAAGTCCCATAGTTCTCAAAGTTATCATGCCTGCTAAGCTTTTCCTATTTATAATTAATACATATGCTGCTGTAGAGAGAAGCCTCTGGGTCTGCATATTTTTCTTTTGATTTCTAACCAGGCACTGTTTCAGCGTTTACTAATAAGGAAGGTGTAAGTTGATGGAGGAATTTTTATTTGTATTTACTGAATTTGTTTCGGTGTGTGTGTGTTCACAGGGGACCCTTTCTCTGGGGCGGCCCTCAGACCCTGCAAGGATGATCTGCGATGATGCTGTTCAGACCACGGGCTGTAGGATGGCCTTCTCTGCCCACTGCTGGGAATGCGTGTGGGCTGTCGGGATAGTAGACAGCAAAGAAGGAACAGTTGTCCTGATCGCTTAGCTTCTCCCAAGGCTCAGGTCGCCTCATTTCTGGGAGCCCTGAGCTCAGGATCATTAACCAAAATATGCCTTCTCCTTCGCAACGGGGCCTGAGGCCTCTTGATACTTTGCAGCTTCTCACAAGGCTTCCTGGGGGCTGTTGCCCCTTAGCCGTTCTGTGTTCCTCCGACCCGGTAGACGTCTTCCTCCACTGCCAAGACCCAGGCCCTCAACAGTGCCTCCATGAAATGCGTGGGGGCCACGGGGAACCATGTTCCCCCATGTGCGACCTGACCCTGTGCAGATCCTGGGTGTGATCTGTTCACAGCTTTGAGAGGCGATCAAAGCGAAAGAGATCTTGCGTGGTGACCCTGCCATTTTTGCCCATCCCTGAGCTCAGATCAGATTCTCTGTGCTGATCAAGCTCAGCCTACCTGGGCTGATGTCTCCCCTTGATCTACATCCTCGCATGTATTTCTAACTCAGTCTTCTTCCTACCTCAGTGTATCACCCTAACTTTGGACAACGTACTTTTCAGTTCGATACTGATTTTTGTCTCCCTCGTCTTTTTTTTTTTATGTTATGTTTTTATTATTATGTGATGTTAATCACCATACATTACATCATCAATTTCTGATGTAGTGTTCCATGATTCATTGTTTGCGTATAACACCCAGTGCTCCATGCAGTACGTGCCCTCCTTAATACCCATCACCGGGCTAACCCATCCCCCCCCCTCTAAAACCCTGTTTGTTTCTCAGAGTCCATAGTCTCTCATGGTTCATCTCTCCCTCCAATTCCCCCCCTTCATTTTTCCCTTCCTTCTCCTAATGCCCTCCATGCTATTCCTTATGTTCCACAAATAAGTGAAACCATATGATAATTGACTTTCTCTGCTTGACTTATTTCACTTAGCATAATCCCTCATCTTTTTGATCAATGACTGACCCTTGGCTCAGGATGTTCCCTGCTCTTTTCCCAAGGAATACTTGCCGTTCCAGCTCTTTTCAACTTAGTGGAAAAAGTGGAGGGGAGTGTTCCAAGAGCTGCCTCTAGACCGCTGAGTAATGGCTCTTTCTCTGTTGTTCTTCACTTAAAGAAGTCCCTACCATTCTCACTGGCTTAATATAGGATAAAAGGACATAAATGTACAGTACATTTATTACAAACAAGAATAAAATTACTAAACACAATAAAATGTGGAAAAAAGGACTTTCTTTGTGCAGCAAACTCTTATTACCTGTAAAATATTGTGGAATCACCTGGAAATAGTAAAGTATTTAAACCATGTGTATATTAATCTGCACAGTTATTCCTTGTAATGGTCTTCAATAGAAATTATCTGTATATTATAGAGTTGACCATTTCTAATGAATATGGAAATAAATATAATGTTCCCTTCAATTTTCCTAACTATCTACTATAATACATGTTCTTTGAAGAGAAGGGACAGTTCTTTGAAAGGACAACAGACTCCAGGAAGACAACGTGCAATTTACTTAAAACAAATTTTATTACATATTGTTAATGTGCTTAGTAGTAAAAGCATACATTGAGCCATGTTTTATAAAACTCTACAAAAGTAAAGATTTCTTTTTTTTTTTTTAAAGATTTTATTTATTTACTTGAGACAGAGAGAATGAGATACATAGAGCATGAGAGGGAGGAGGGTCAGAGGGAGAAGCAGACTCCCCGCCGAGCAGGGAGCCCGATGCGGGACTCGATCCCGGGACTCCAGGATCATGACCTGAGCCGAAGGCAGTCGCTTAACCAACTGAGCCACCCAGGCGCCCAAAAGTAAAGATTTCTAATTAAACCCCTAACACCTAGATGTCATCTATAGTTAAATTTTGGCTAAATTGTTTGAAACAGTAAAAGGGGAAACCATGTAAAATCCCTTCTATATTATCAAAAATAACTGTGGAACGCACACTACAATTTAAAAGGAGATTACTTAAAATATGGATTGTAAATTCTTCTAATCTTCATTGAAACAGATTTAATCCTGACAGGTGCGTTGTTTTTGGTCCATGTGCCCCCCTGGATTCCAGTTGCAAGCAATTTTCCGGGGAAGTGATGAATGCCATTTAAGTTCGCTAGACCACACTGGCTGAACCACCAGCCGGTGTTGTTACTCAGGTGACTACAGCTTTTCACGGACTGACCCTGGACTAGGCATGCAGGGCGACACCCATCATTATCCACATCCGATGTGCTGAAAGGCATTTCGTTTTGGTTTTCTTCTTTCCTGAAGCCCCGGAAAGCATCACCTGGGTAAAACAGATTTTTTTTACATGGGTACATTTAAAGGCACTTTTTGTAAATTTAATTGACCTTTACCAAAACTGTTGTTATAAAGCTTCACATCTAGAGCTAAGGTTTCGGTTATTTTCTACTAGGTATCGTATTAAAATTTCTCCTCCAGATTGCAATATAGCAGAACCTGGAAATGAATTCCTCAGCATGATAGGCATCGTTAAGTGGATATTTGATGTAAAATTACAATCCAAATGGAAGTTTGGCTGTGTAGACAGAATCAGATAATTTAGGCCAAAAATGATGCTGTACAAACCTGTCATACTTTGGGGAAGGTAATATGGTACTTGGTAATTTAGGGAAAAGAAGAATTTCTATGTAATAATAATACAGAGTACAGAATAAGTGTTCATGCCACTACCGTTCTCCATCGCTTGGCTGGAAAGGTTGCTGCCACCTTTCATTTTTTTTTAAAGATTTATTTTTATTTATTTGACAGAGAGAGAGATAGCGAGAGAGGGACACAAGCCGGGGGAGTGGGGGAGGGAGAAGCAGGCTTCCCGCCGAGCAGGGAGCCCAATGCGGGGCTCGATCCCAGGACCCTGGGATCATGACCTGAGCCCAAGGCAGACACTCAACCAACTGAGCCACCCAGGTGCCCCTGCTGCCACCTTTCAGATGCTTCCATCTGTAAATGCACAAGTTGTTGGGTTTTATTTAGGGGTCACGAAGTTGGTATAAAAACCCAGTTGCTTCCAGCATGCCATCAGCTACACTACTGAGGTGCGCCTTTTCTTCATGGCTCCCCACACAACACATGGAGAGGAGTTGAAGGAAAACCATTTTTAAATGGCTGATGTTCATGTGTGGTATCCCTGATAGTCACCAAAACCTCAGAGTGAGCATCTTGGCCGAGGAGCCCATGTAAGTAAGTAGCAGGGGCAGAAGCCATGCCCTGTTTTACTAAAACTGTATAAACAGAAGGTTTTAATTAGTCCCTTACATGAGATCACACCTACAGGTAAACTTCGCTAATCTGGGGCGCTGGCTGGTGCAGTCCGTTGAGCGTCTGACTCTTGGTTTCACTCAGGTCCTGATCTCAGGGTCATGAGATCGAGCCCTGCATTGGGCTCCGCACTCAGTGGGGAGTCTGCTGGAGATTCTCTCTCTGCCCCTCCCCACCTCCCACCCCCCCCACACACACACGCATGCGCACACTCTCTCTCTCAGTCTCTCTAAAATAAATAAATACATCTCTAAAAAAAAAAAAAAACTTTGCTAATCTGTTTGAAACACTGACGTAAAGTGAAGTTATGCGAAATCTTTGAGGAATCCAAAGCCCACATTTGTTTCATTATGTTCCGAATGTTTGGGTCTTTGAGGAGCCTGGAGAATTTCCCAAGTGGTAGTGACCCATCCTATACCCCAGCTCTGCTTGTTATTAAAGCCTCTTACCCTACACTTCACAGGAAACAAAATGCCCACATTGCAGGGATTTGCAGGGAGAAGATAATTGTCAGCACCCACACAGAAGTTCGGATGAGAGACAACACTTAAGGAACATTGCCTAAATCATGATTCCTCCACAGATAGTTTCTTTGGACAAAGTCCAACCACCAGAACGGTTATATGTTATATGGGCTCCTCCCTGGGTTATATTTAATAAATAATTCTTAAAATATAGTGCATAGGGGGCGTCTGGCTGGCTCAGTCGGTGGAGTGTGCGACTCTTGATCTCGGAGTTGTAGCTTCAAGTCCCACATTGGGTGTAGAGATGACTTACAAATAAAATCCTTAAAAAATAATACTATAATATAATATAATGCATAAGTCTATTTTCAAGACCTAGCCCAGTAAAACTCACTGCCATGTTTCCTGTGAGAGTGTACTTAGAACACGGCACTGTTTTCTCTGAGAACCCAAATAAAGCTCTCTCAAGTTTTAGAATCAAGAATATTTGTCCTCATGGAACAACTGTGTTGTTCAAAAGTTCAAATTTCATATTTCTATTTTTGCTCTGAGGTCAAAATCAAATTTGCAGCTCACCTCTACCATGCACCTGATCACACTTAACCCCCTGGTTTTATCTATGTTTCTATCTTTATGTTCTACTGACAACTTTTCTTTATCTTGATTGTATTATGTGATCATCTGTTGAAAGTTACTTAGCCTTACTGGGAAAATGCAGAGTATTTTCTGAGGGCAGAGTCTGAGGGCTCTGTGGTGAAAACACTTGCACCATTATAAATCGTATCCTCTAGATCCTACTCCAAGAGAGAAACCCACACAAACATTTCCTAACATAATATGTTCCATATTGAGATAGTTCTTTCCACTTTTATAGATGCAGCATTAAAAATCACATATTGTAACTCTTTAAAATTTTCCCTATACATCAAGATTGGAATTTCAGACCTCCACCTAATATCCCAAGGCTAAACCCCCTCGGGCAGCAGGGACTCCAAGCATACCCGACACCTCTTCATGCTCAGCCATTTTCCTCCTGCTGTGTCTTGGCTCAAGCTGTTCTCTTTGCCAACGTTCATTGGCCAGAAGCCTGTCCCTTCCTCCAAGTACAGATTAGTGGTTCTCAACTATAAGGATGCTGACATCTCCATCGTTGGATATAAGTAGCTAGTATATACTTTCAAAAAACCTTCCCCCGTTAAATCTAACATTAACTCCTTGCTAGAAACTACCCTTCCGTGAAGATTTTCTAGTTGCAATCAGCTGGGATCCTTCTCTCCCTCTCTTAAATGCCCAAAGCTCTGTCAGTATTCAGTATTCCAAGTTTTTGGTTTTCTTTATCCTCCCTCTATATTGTACTCAGTTAAAGAACTGGGAACATATCTCACTCGTAAATATACACAACAAACAAGTGCCATGATGAGCAACAACAGGAGAGTTGAATTTGGTATTAACTCAAATTTAAGATTTTTCAGCATCAAATTATAAATTTAACATGATGTATTTTGAATTTCTTAAAAATTACATTTATTTGGAAATGAGTAGATGAATCAAGGTATAGTGAAAAAAAAATACCTACTTAACTAGCTGTTCTATCAACCTGGCTCCTTGCCCTGGCTCATGTGTGGTGAGCTGGGACTTGTGGGCAAGTCCCTTAATCTTAGGTTCCTTCAGCTGGAAAGTGAGAACAGAGATCAGCTCTAACATTCTACAATTTCTAAATGCCAACCTCTCATAACATGAGAATGTCAGCAATTCCTTCCCAGCCTGCCCCATAGACTCTCCTTCTAAAGAGTCAATTGCAATTACACATGGAAAATAGTTTTAAAGAATATAAGCTCTTCAAAATCATGAGATTGTTCAATGATCATAGCAGGGCCTCAAAACTCAGGGTTCTCATTGCTAATCTATTTGTTCTCAGTTATGTGTCCTAGAGCAAGAGAAACGCATTACTTTATCTTCCCCTAATACTGAGTCAGCTATATTTAAATATCCTGCATAATTTGGGGAATAAAAAACTTACCAGCATTTCCTGAATACCGTCCTAAGTGCATCTTAAAAAATCTTGTTTCATCTTCTAGCCAAAAGTTATCATATGATGCATAAGCAAATGTGTCATCTTCAGATTCCAATGCAATATACAGCATAAAACTGGTATTTTTCTGATTTACTATATAAAAAATCTTTTTTAGTCCTAGCCAAAATTCACCTGTTAAAAAAAAAAGTTTTTTAACATATTTTAATACAACTTAGAATAACCTTTTATTATTGAGTGTTTGGTGTTGTTTAGTTTTTAACACTGAAATGGCTCACATAAATTATTTGAGAGACTAGATAACCCTCACTCAAATTATCAGTGTTTGCCTAATTTACAAAATATATGCATATGTATTGTTTGTATATGGACACATACGTATTTGTGTATGTATGTGTGTGTACATGCATACATACACGTGTATATGTATATAAGCATGTTTATGTACATATGCACACACACACACACACACACATGTAATCTTCCCCCTTCTATGTCACCAGACTGGGGCAACTAGACTGTTTTATTTTTACTCTCACCAAAATAAATTCAAAAATTCATTTGACGACTAACTAAAATTTCAAGATCTACCTCAAGGTATGTCAACAAAGAAGCTGTTGAAATATAATGGCAGGTAACAAAATGATGTGTGCTCATAAACGTGAAGAGTTTTAACCTCCAAATCAGCAGCTCCTAAAGAAACATTTCCTGAAAATGCTCAGTTGAAATTATTTTTTTTGTCTTTCAGAATGATGCCCTGTGAACAAGCATTTCTTCGTTAGAATGCAGTGTGTCAGCTACCTACAAATAAACATGTCATGTCATGTGATGAATGAAAATGAATTCCGGGATGAATTAGGAAACAGTGTTGGGACTGCATGCTCTTTGCATGGTCTACTGCGGCTTTGGGCCTCCCCCCGCCCACCTTGGCACGGCCTCTGCTCTAACATACATGCCCCCAGCTGAACCCTGAGATGACTGAGGGAAGGACGGGGCTAGTGGGAACAAACTTCCGAGAGTTGGAGAGTTGGGGGACAGAGTGACAGCATTCACGTGGTTGAAACTCTAGCTAGGGCACCACGTTCCCCTCAGGGCTGACGGGGGCATTCTAACTGCACGCCCACGCGGGAGTGGAAATTACCCTGAAGAAAAGGCAGGAAGGAAGGGGGTCCACTTGGTGTCTCCAGTCTGTGACACTCCATTATAAATGTCTTCGCCATCTTGCCCCTCTCCCCAGCCCCTAATTTGAATTAACAATATATTTTCCTTAATCCCAAATTTGTTTTTTAAACTATACCAAGTACAGTCTGTTCACATGACATATACCTGCCTAAAGACCTCTGTCTCAAAACTCAGATAATTTCCCCGTAGAAATAAGCATCAAGGGAGAAGGATGACAATTCAGAGCCTGTAGATCTATGACTGCTGAAATCAGGAGATAGCACTTGCCAGAAAATTAGAGGTAATGCTGGGAAAATACACTTTATTAACCATGCTCCGTGACATGGCATCTGTCCAGCCGCCTTCCTAACACTTCATTACATGTCCCATGCTTTCTAAAATCATTAGCGTGCAGGTGGGACTGTAGCAAGAGAACTAACACCCCTGCTTACTAAATCCTTGGACGATGTTATCACGGGATGTTAAAGCTTTTAAATTAAAACAACAGTAACTTAAAATAACAGCATGAAAATGATCAAAATCACCTGCAAAACTTCCAACAAAGTTCAAATTCTGCAGTGGTCAGAAATACTGGCATTCCTATTTGCTGGCAAAGGTAATGCTGTCATGCGGGTACTATGTGAACAGATTTCAGAAATTTTTATAAAATACTACTCCCAGGTCACGTGATTTGAATTTGTACCGCTGTGCACCTCAGTTCTCCATTCGCAGAGACATACCACACATGCCAAGCGTTTCAAGGTTCATGACAACCCTGCCCTCCCATTCAGTGTTTCATTCTACAAATAGTTGTTGAGCATCTACCAGAATTCTGCTGGGTACACAGTAAATGCTTAATAATTACCCAGGTTAGAACTTTTCAACACGTATCTAAAGATAAGGATTTCCAGATCCCAACCCAAGACCCACTCGTTCTAAGTAACACAAATGAAGAGAAAGTAATTTGAGAGAGGATTTGCTGTTTTTGCTTGTGATGTGACCTACAGAGAAACAGTCCATAGGTGTCATGCCAAAAAGAAGAAAAAAAGAGGAGAAATAAGATTTGACCTAAAAGGTCGCCAAATCCGTCCAGATAATCACACCACAGCCTTTGGAAATCAATGACCCCGTCAACCCTCTTCTGTATCACGGTCCATCCACCTCCTCGGTAATCCATGTCACACATTACCTAAGACAGACCCAGAAAAGATAAAAATCATATACTATCATTTTCATTCGTTGACATAAAGCTCATGTTTCACCCTGAAGCCCAGAGAAAGCTAAGACAGTTCCATGGAGTTTCAACGCAGTTGTATGCTATTCATATATTCAAATGTAAATCTCTAGAAATAATGCTGTTTGTTTTAAGACAAACCTGCAGCTAAGCTAATGACAGCTCCCTGTGTCAGTAATTCGTTTACATACGTAAGTGTTCTATCCTCGAATTCCTCAACTCCATGGATATTTTTCAGTTGAGTGGTAGTGCTACCAATCTGATGTAGCAGCATGAGGTATCTGCAAATTCACTTTTCCTTTGAATGAAAACACTGATTTTTTAAAGTGTTCATTAAATATGCCCGTGTACCTGTCTTCAATTACTCTTTTCTCCAAAAGCCTGAAAGGCCTGTGTTCAGACTGGTCTCTGCAGACAGAACGGTGTGATCTGTGCCCCACCTCAGCCCGTATCCCTAGCTGCACCTCTGAATGCCCCTAAGAGGACAGCTGGAGGGACCCAGGGAACCGACATGGGGAGAAAATCCAAGCAAGCGTCCCCATCCGAAACTCCCTGCACACGGAGAAAGGCAGCCTGGAGGAAGTTAGGTAATAAACACCTCCCCATGGCTTGAGAAGGTAATTATGCATCCCACTCTTGACAAAATCAGAAGCCTTCCCTCTCCTCGTATGTTCAGGCTCATTTTTGAATCTCTAGGTGAAGCAAGTTAGGTAATTTTAAAATTACTTCCCATCTAAACCCCAATTTTTTGACATCTTGTCAATAGATGAGAAAATAATGTTAGAAATAAATAAATTTAATAACTTCAGGATGAGAAACTGGTACTTTCTACTCAGAAAAATTATGTTATTGTGTAATGAGATTATCAATAAGATGTGATAATGACATCATAAACTTTCTTACGCACAAAAGAGTGAACAGCAAAAATTATATATAAATAATTTATATGTTATTGTATATGTAATATTCTAGGTTAATAATATGACATTATATATATCCTGTCAATAACAGTAATTTCTGATAGAAATTTCTTCCAGAAATCATAGCATAGGACTACTAAAGATAGACATGAGGGTAATTTATCTTACTCAATTTAAAAATGGTTTTAATTTTAAAAAAGGTTTTCTCAATCTGTCTCACACTTTAGTGAAAGGTTTTTTGTAATTATTAATTTCTTATGTAATCACATGAAACCATCTGTCACCTTCATGTATGGGAAGGGAAATCAAAGTTTCTTTAGCAAGTTCCAAGGCAGAGCACCCCACTACTTTCTAATATCCACAAGATAATTAAAGCAAGCATTTATATGCATATTTCTGCCTACTGTAAAGATAATATAAGCTCTTACACCAAATGGATTTACTTCAAAGAGTATAAACATGAAACCTCAAATGGAAAAGTGAAAGACTCTCAAGCTGTTTTACAGGTTCGTGGTTTGGGCAAAGAATTTCAGGAAACCAAAATTTTGAAACTGGAACTTCTACCCATTTATATTAAAAATTTCAAGAAAAAATATTAAAACAATTGAATTTTTAATATTAATTAAGTAGATTGGCTGCTTATCCTGTTTCATATGATAAGGGAAAACTTTACCTCAAACGGGTAACTAGATCCTTCCGGGTAGATTATATATAAACCACTTGGAGTTCTGGTGACAGAGCCAATGGTATCTTTAATATCAGTACAATCTAAACCTAGAAAAGTAAAACCAGTTAGGATATTTTCAAGTGCACATTTAAGCCTTAATCATTTTACTGTAGAGATCTGACAGTGCTCTCTGAAATTATAATTTCCATTAATAATATGATGCTTTTAACTTTTTAGAAATGAAAAATGATCTCTATTTTAGAAATCAGGAGAAAATACTCGCAAGAAATGGGATTAAGGAATTCATGTTGCAATAAACCTTTACTAATAACATCACTGTTAGTGATTAGTACTCCATACTGCTTAAATGTTCCATTTGGGATCCACATTTATTTAATATATTTTATAATTATGCATTCTCTCACCCAATAAATAATGCTCTTTCCTGAATCTAGGCTTATTTGGGGGGCATAATGTGTGAAGGAAATCTATATGAATGGGAAGGAGAAACCCAAATGAGTAAGTAGATTAACGACAGGTGACACATCCTTGACTACTGGAAACTTCAGAGACTCTAGTCGGGAAGCACCGTTACAAGAGCCAAAGGGAGAGGACGAGAAAATCACTTTCTTCACCAAAAAGAAATTATGCTTGAGGCCAGAGCCTGCCCTGCGGCCAATAGTTAGAACTGTAGCATCCTGTAATCACCTTCTCCAAAGCATCCCACTTCCCAGGGGATTGTAAGCATATTATTTGGATATGGATATTACATTTTATTCTAAGACACTTTGTGTTATCTTTTATAAATGTAATAAAATAAATGCAACCCTTACATTGTTAATTACCCAGAGAAACAAACACATGCAAGCCTTTGACTCCAGAACCAGAAGCCTATTAGAGTCCTAGCCCTACTCCTTAGCAGCCGAGAACCCTTAGCTAGGTTACTCAACCACTTTTCTTCTTCTATCGTTGTAACAATGCTGTCTACTTTATAGTGTTATTCTGGTGATTACATAGTGAGGTGTTATATAAAGCACACATATGCAGAAAATGTCTACAAAAAATTATCTATTGAAGATTATTTGTTTCCCCCTTTTTCTCCAGAAGATAACGGGTTTGTTGCCTTTGTTCTGAATTGCTAAGAGACATTCTTCTAGAACCTTGGACGCAAGTAGATATGATAAGAGTTCACAATAAAGGACGGATCTGGGTTGGAATACACACTTCGCTATCACCATCCAAATAAATGTGCGCACATTCTTTAGATTTTTCTGGGCTGCATATTCCTCCTCTGATGATGATCATCATCACAGCAAAGCCTTATATTGTCTTCCTGTGCATCAGGCACTATTTGAAGAGCTTTTCGCGCACTTGGTCATATAATCCTTGCAACAACTGTAGGAGGTAAGTGCATCATCAGTCAGCTGATAAGGAAATTGCATGAGTTAGTGGAAGGCGGGCGGTCCGGCCTCAGCGCCCATGTTCCTAACTACACGAGGTACAATAAAATAATATAAAATAAAATAACATACGCAAGTGCCTGTCTTAAACCTGACACTTAGGAGATTCTCAGTAATTGTTTATTTCCTTCCCTTCGTAAGGAAGAAAGATCATACCCTAGGCCCTCAATCATATTTATTTACTTGGAACTCTTTGGTATTCATTCACATTTGTAAGATATGATACGGTGTTTTCCTTAGAAACCCAGGCCTCTGGGAATTACTATACTGTATTTTTATACAAAAAGCTCTAAATTCCACTTTATTTCTGTCTTAAGTTTTTCTTTTCAAATTTTATGTTCCAATTTGAAATATTTGGAACATATCAAAAGTACTCCACAGGTGGAAAGAACTCTGAAACCTTCTTTTCTTCTAACTGAAGATTAATCATGAATAAAATGTAGGTCAGCCCAGAAACGACATACATAAAACCATGCGGTTTCCAACAAATTCAGGATGTACATTTGGTACAGCATGGCCTTCAGATGCTCGAAAACCTTCCCGACTTAGGAAAGCACATTTGTCCGGGTTGAAGTCTGCCCAGGGGCAGGTAGGACTCCTCCAGTCCATTAGATAATAGCGAGCTCTATTTTATAAACAAAACCCCTAAAGGCACCAAGTTGTCCGGGAAAATCTGGAGCAATTAAAGACAAGTACGAAAAGTCCGAAATAGCAAAGTTCTCACCATGTGACTGAACCGGCCTGTGGGGAAAAGGATCCAGGTGCTTTCTGAAAACTTCTGTGGTCAGAAGGAGAACCCGGTTCATGAGCTCGTTAACCTGAACACACAGGCGCACCTTTAAGCATTTTATATTCGAACAAAACCCCTTCCCCTGAATTCTATAGCTGGCATCCCCGAGCTTCTTACAAACCCATCTCTGCAGTATATAATAATGCCCACTGCCCCCCACCCCCGCACTGCACCCCTCACCCCTACAGCAAGGCTGCAAAGGAGCAGCACAGACTCCCTGCAGGTGTGGCTCCCACCTGCCCGCTGGGCAGCGAGCAGCCTTGCAGGCCCCCAACCTGTCCCTTCCAGCTCCCCCTCGCACACTGTGGGGCTCCCGGTGGGCGCCACTTAGGGCCTGCATCTTTCAGGCAGTTGTCCCCATACACCCACCACCTCCCCAGCACCAGCTCCAAGCAGCTTTGTGTCCGCCTGAGGCTTGCTATGATGCCCCTAACAGAGCAGGCCCTAAACACACACCTGGACGTGACCGCATTGCAAAATGAAATAGCTGTACCTCCAACCATATCGATGAATATGTGCAGTAACAACACCAGAGAACAGATCCATACCTGATTGGATAAATAATCCAAGGAAGTCTGTTGCTCGTCCATCATGTTTCTTAGCAGCTTTTTGGTACTTCGGGTGTAGGAAACAATAGAATTTTGCAAATTTCCTTAAATCATAATAAAAAGTGTTGGCTAAATATTAGATTGTTAGAGAAAATAGAGTGAAAAATCATGAATTTTACATGATCTTGGATAAATATGTAGACACAATAATATCTCAATCTATCTAAATACTCCAGTTAGTATAATTTTTGTTTAACCAAGAAAATAACTGTCTTAACACTTCTTAGTGAAACTATGCTTTCCAATAGTTTAGATGACCCCCAAATAATTTAATCTCATGTAACAGATACACAACATTCGGAATATTAATTCTGACTTCATAAGATGAGAGATACAAAAGCAGGAGGTCCAAAAGTCCTCAATTCTTACCATATAAGGAAGTAAAAGGCAATAATCCATATCATGCAAGTTAATTTTCAAAATAAATGTTTCTCTTAGTTTGTTCTATTACTGCTGCATATTTTTATATAAGCAAATAGCAAACACACATATACACAGTAAGTCTTAGTCAAAGTTTCAGTTGGTTGGTTTCTGATTGAACTTTTACTATATGTTTTTCTTTGAAAAAGTTTTTTTTTAATTTTAAAGCAATTGTATTCTTAGAAGGGTTGCCAGAGCAATACAGATAACCCAAATCGTCGGAGAGCAGGCTTCCGTGGTGTCCCTGGATGTTTCAGTCTGTACTTCTTATGCCCGAGACATTCTCTACGATACAACCCTCAAAATCAGGAACTAATCATACACTATGTTGTATTTCCCAGACCAGTTATAGTGATGATGTCCTTTATAACAAAAGCCTCTACATATATTGCACACAGTATTCTTCAAAAGATTATTTCTAATTTTCACTCTCACAGCAGAATCACATTAATAATCCTTGATGTCTTAAAACCAACCCCACCCAGCTTCATCCCTCTTTTTCACTTTCAGTCTCTCGCTTTCTGTTAGATTCTTCCTGGATTTAGACGTCTGTCTTAAGGGACAGTACCCACGGGGCACTCACCAGCCTGAGAAACCAGAGGTGCTCATGGTGCACATAGAATTAAGCACATAATTTGTCCTAGGATGTCCACCCTGTAAGAGCTAGACTAGAGCATCACCCCCTCCCTCCCCGATCCCCCTTCTTTATCTTGCCCACCATGTGCATGTAATAGACCATGAAAATTCCTGCACTGTTACTGAATAGTTTTAAACAAAAATCAAGACTTAAACATTTGTTTTTATGCTTTGCTACATAAATTGTCTATGAATTTGTATTACACTTGTTGTGGCAGCTATTCAGTATTAATGGATTCCCCCTCAAAACTAAGGAGCAATTTCCTAGTGGCTCAGAGGGAAGATCAAAAATAGCCGTTGGTGGATTGATAAAATACAGCTCTCAGCGCCCTCTGCCCTCTGTGGGCAGCAGATGCCACAGGGCTGTGTATAAGAAGGATTCATTCATTCACTCACCAAATATTTACTAAGCACCTACCATGTGCCAAACACAGAAAACTTCTGGCCTAGGATGATCAAGATACATATAAAATGACCCAAACACATCAAGGAGGGCATGTGATGTGATGAGCACTGGGTGTTACTTGCAACTGATGAATTATTGAACACTACATCTGAAACTAATGATGCTAATTGAATTTAAATTTTTAAAAAAATGACCCAAACAAAGCTAAGGCCTATTTCCTTCTATGTATACCCTAGAAATAATAAATCATACACCCTTATAATTGTGGTCATTTTTAATACTTACTACACATAAAATGTTTTTCTTCTCGTGTAATTTTAATTTTACCATCACATGACTCCTCACAGTCTTCCTTATAAACAGTATCATTACTTTTACTCTCATCTTTTGCATTAGATACGTCTTCTACAACATTAACTGCTGGAGAGTCCTTTACGTTAAAAAATAGAAATAAGAGAACAATATATGAAGTATGTTCTATACATAATACATAATAAATAAGAAGAGTGCATGGAAAAGATGAAATTTCAGGACGTACACAAGGATGATCGTTAGAAAGAAAAAAAAAAAACAATGAACTGGTTAGTTAAACTTCCACAAGTAAACCTTATGGGTAAGTTTTAGGTAAGAATAAAAGTATATGTTAATTCAATATTTTTGCTCTGCCTTCTTCTTCTCCAATTCCTAAGGGATATATTTAGGGTCTACTTTCCATTACATGGCTCCGTGGCCTTGACCTTGAACTTTGGCCCATTCGGTGTCTGATCCAGCGCCCAGCCTTCCCTCCTCCAAGCATCTATCTGGCAGTCTGAAGTTCCTTGACCAGGACTAGGAAGGTTCCCTGAGATATCTACACTTCTATGCCAGATGGGCTTTCTGCCAGCAACCTATTATTAGGAATTGGGGGCGGGAGGGCGGAGGTATGTGTGGAAGGCTTGTTGCTTTTGTAGAAACTAAGCTATTTACAGATTTGAAAGGTCAAATACTCATTGGTTTGAAAGATATCAGTGACAGTAGTAAAAAAGCACGGAATTTTGCAAAATCAACAACAGATGTCATCTTGGAAAGCCAACTACAGCTGCCATTCCAAATGTATTGATTTCTGTTGGTAAATACTGGTTTCCCGATATGAAAACATTCTTTGGTAGAAGTCACATAGATTTAAATAAATGTTATTAAAAGAAAATAGTAACAAGCTTTACCTCCCTTTGACCTGGATATTGAGAGAAAGGTAAAGAGCTAATCATATTATAAAAGATATTTGCCCCCAAAAGACCCTGGCATTTTGTTACATTGACCTATTTTTAACTTCTTGCTCTTTCCCCTCTCCTCCTGTAATAATTGGCATACTGATGTTTTCAAAAACCTAGGTGACAACCATATTTTTTCAGCTCTAAGTAAATAAAGTTTTTAATTTTTAGTATTTTTTAGAGAATTGTATTATTAATATTTGTGTGGCTCTCCTAAAATTTATTCTTTATTCAACCTTAGAACTTTGAATTTGTATTGATACCATGGTGAATACATTGTAAAATATTTTAAAATTATAAACCAATATTTGAATATGTACAGATTCAAATCCCCATCTACTTAGAGTACTGCATATACTTTATTAGCTGTCACACATTGTTTTAAATAAAAGTTTCTAATTTCCTAGGTAACCACTCACAAGACTGTATTTGAAATATAAACACTTATAGAATACTCATTTTTTTAAACAGCAAAGTGAATTTTTTCTTATTACCTATCAGATATTTCATTATCAAAGTTAACCTGAAAGTTGCTGGCTAGTTTTTAACCTAGGCCTGTAATTTCTTTAAAATTTTTTTCATTAGAAATGTGTTAAGTGACAATCCTCAATTTATGGTTTCCTAAGTTTAAAAATAATATCATTTAAGCAGAGTCTCAGCATTCTAAATAAACACTTTAATCTTTCCATGATTACATTGGGTACTACAATTAATCTTTTCAAACTTTTAATATGTATCTTGAAAACAATATACCCATACTTCCTAGCTAAAATAATATTGCTGAAATTCTTACCTTAGAATGATGTACACAGTTACCTTGTATAACTTGTCCACAAATAAAAATAAATGTATTTAAGAATAAAAGTGAAGCTTGAGGAAGATACATTATATTCTTCTTGGAGAAATGAAAAACTTCTTCAAATATCAGTCAGCTCTCTGTTGAAAGAACTGCAGTGCATAGAGTCTTCAGTTGAAAGCTTCTGGAAGGTGTTCAACAAAAACAGAAGCCAATACTTACTGGTTTCCATGCCCTCGTTTGAAACAACACCCTTCATATGAAAAACAAGGTAGCCATAGAGATCCTGTCATTTTTAAGTTATGCAAACCTTTTTTTATGGCTATACGCCTGCTGTTAGAATATAGGCAATAGCTAGATAAATAAGTAAATAGATAAAGCATGAATTTATAAGCCCACCTAATGTTTATGAGTTGGATTTTTGGGGACCTTGGAAAAAACACCTTTGATAAAATATCCCTCAATAATTGTAAACCAGTTTGCATAAAAATAGTAAGGAAGTAGACATGAATGATGGAGTAGAAAGAAGGTTATATTAAAATTGTTTTTACAAAACGCTAAGCAGAAATCTAATCAACGTGGATATCCAGGACAGCTAATTCAGTAAAAAGTAAGCTTCCCCCTGAATTTAGCTTTCAGGGATGGTCATATTAATCACATAAATGCCAAATTTCTAGGACTCTGATTTGTATGTAACATCTATGTTACTAAAACTTCAAAAATTCTGAATGTCAGGGAACTATTATTACTGAAAATTACCACTCTCTAAGAGCTGATAGATCAATGTCTATAATGAGTCTCCAAATAACCCCTTACACACTTCCTTCTCTTCATTATATAAACATGCCTAAATATTCACTATACTAAAATTAAATAAAATAAAAGGATCCAAACCTTTCCTGAGTCTTGCTTCCTGTTCCAGGTATTACGTTCTCCACTCCCTTTTCCCAGCCCGAGAACTACCATAGTGTTTCTGGGGCTAATCATGCTGACTGGGGCACAGTAGGCACTCAAATGCTGATTAATGAATTAATACTTTCAAACAATTAAGTATTCTCTGACTGTGCTTCCTCACCGTCCACTATTAAACCCAAACACTCTTCTCTTACTCTCGAGCCTCTCCAGCAGGCAGCATGAGGCGGCTGCTGGCATTGGCTCTGAGACCAACTCGAATCTTGATTCCACCCCGCCTTCGCTCTGGAATCTTGAGCAAAGTTATCTAGTATCACTATAGCTTAACTACTTCCTCTGTAGAATGAGGATTATGCTGTGGATTCAATGATTTAATATACATAAACACTCAGCACAGTGCCTCAGAGAAAGCAGGCACTCAAATGTTAGGGGTCACTATTATTACTATTATTTGACTTGATCTATAATGCAGTCTAACATTGCTGACATTATTGATGACCCTTATAATCTGTATTAAGAGTAGATGAGCACTTATCTTTAATTTCTGGTTGAAGTCTTAGAAAACTTAATGAATATGGCAGAACTTCAGTAATTTTAAATCAGCCAGATGTTAAAATTCTTTGTTCTTTCATAGCTTTCCCAGAAACAAATCCAGGAAATTCTTACTGGAGCAAGAAAATACTTCAGCAGAAGATGGAAAAAAAATAGCCTCAGCCAAGAAGAAAGTGAAAGCTCAGGAAATTATCCCTCACAGGCTGCTTTGCATAACTCACAAGGTTATTACAGTACGCAAATTAGATAAGTTATGTGGACATGCTTTGTAACCATAAAGAGGTTATTATTAGTTTCTTTTGTAAACAGAACACCATTAACAGTTTATGAGGTATGTTAATGAAGTTGGGTGTCTACTAGGCATCTCCTCCTTAGATCGTGTCCGAAGCCCAAATCTTATTCCTTCCACCTTCAACCTGTTCCTCCCCATTTTAGTAAATGGCAATACTTGTCATCCAATTGGTCCAGCCCCAAATCATAGAGTCACATTTCATTCTTTTTTCACTCACTTGAAACACAACCATTTTACCCACTTGCCCCAGCCATTCACCAATACCTCTTACTGGCTCAAGGTTTAAAATTCTGAACACTTCTGGGGCACCTGGGTGGCTCGGTTGGTTAAGCGACTGCCTTTGGCTCAGACCATGATTCCAGGGTCCTGGGATGGAGTCCCGCACAGGCTCCTGGCTCAGTGGGGGCCCTGCTTCTCCCTCTGCCCCTACCCCACTTATGCTCTCTTTCTCTCTCTCAAATAAAAATAAAATCTTTAAAAATAAATAAAATTCTGAACATTTCTTACCACCTCAATTACCACCATCCTACTCCCAGCTTCCATGATCTCTCACCTAACCTACTATAACAACATTCAAACTAGCCTCATCGTGTCTAGTCTTATCAACTATAGTCTAAGCTTCCCTACCTCAGCTAGAGTGATTCTTTCTAAAGGTTAACTTAGATCATACTATGCTCTGGCTCGAAACTCTCCAACGGCTTCCTCTTCATTTGAGGTTGGATTTTACATCGATTTCTTGAAAACTGTATCAGTCCCTGCTAAATCTGAGGTACGTCCCCAAAGCATTTCTCCAATCTTGTGTATTAGCACACTTCCCTCCCTCAACCTGTTCTAGTCACAGTGTCTTCTTGCTGGTCTACAAACACATCAAATATAGTTCTGCCCTCAGAGTCTTTTGTACTTACAGCACCCTCTGCCTATAATATTCTTCATCCAACTATCTGAACGGCAACCTCCTTTCTTCATTTAGACTCTGCTCTAATTTCCCTTAATCAGGGGCTTTCTCTAAGCACCATATCTAAAATAGAACTATATCAGTCTCTACCCCCCTACACTACTCCATTTTTCCTCATAGTGCTTTTTACTACCTAATATATTCTGGTGGGGAAGAAAAATACAAACTTCATGAGCATAGGGTCTTTGAAGTTTTGTTCACTATTGTATCCCCAGCAGCTAGAAAGTCTTTGGCATATACTAGGTGCTCAATATACATTTCCTTAATAAAAGAATGAATTATATATATTAAAAGAATATATAAAATATTTGTAAAATAAAAATATTATATAACATGTATATAATATGTTATACTGTGGTTTTAAAGTGCAAAAGAATTAAGCATTATATCTAATACAGATGTCTCTTCTGACAAAATACAGAGACTTTAGTGTAATATTCTTTTTTGTTGCTTGAATCATACTTGACTTTCCTGTCAAGAGAAAAAGTTTATAAATTTTGCCTCAAATTATCTATTATCCAAATATCTAATCTTAAAGCCTCTTTTTTTTTTTTTTTTGAACCTGGGACTATACAACTTCAATAAAGGTGGAAACCTGATTAATATTTTGAAGAAATAATTTAAAGGTTTAAAAAAAACAGATCCTGTGATTTAGAAAAAGTAACAGCACTGTGCTTAAAATTTCTTTTCTTCTTGGTCATCATTGCAAAGCAACATTTGAATGAAGAATGATTAATATGAATGAGCATTTCTAGGCACTTGAGAAACCAAGCCGTGCTTCCTAATGCTAATAGTCCATGCAAAGCAAGAAGGTGCCTAGGAGTTTCAAAATGCCAAACTAATAAGATAGCGAAAGTTAGATTTTGAGGAAGTCTAAGCCTAAATACTCCCAACAGCAACTACAATCTTCTCACTTTGCACAGCCTGCTTTTCTTACTCTCTTTCAAATAGGCCCCAGAGAAACAGACTTTTGATGATAGCAATGGGAACAGAATCAAGGTCGACACTGTGGCTAGGCCAGTCCAAAACTTGCCAAGATAGCTAGTGGTCCATTTAGCCTTTCTTTGCCAAAATTATATATTCTATCTTCTTGGCATTGTCCTGAAGGAAACTTATGTGCTTCGCGTGTTAAATCAAAACTGGATTTGCTGTGGCACTTTAAAATCTCAGTCACCAGATGACATTTCAATCTGGATCACTGCATCCAACTTTGCAAAAACTGTTTTAAATAGTTCCAATTGGAAAAGTTTATTTGAACTCCAAAAATGAACGAATTAATTCACAAAGGCAGAGACATTTCAATGCTGGGTGAGTGATTTTTATTTGGCCTGTACATTCTGCTTCCAGTCTGGGAGTTTTTACACACACACACACACACACACACACACACACACACACAAACCCTGGCTGAAACACAGTCGGAATCCGTATGTACTTTTTTACTGAGCTCCAACAAAAACGTCCAGCCTTTTTTTCAAAGTTTCACTCGCAAAGCCATTTCATCAACGGCTCAGAAATCCATCCAGGTTCGCACAGCTCCTGCAGCAACCCGAGCGTGGTGATGGGTTTGGGCAGGCTCTCCCGGGAGACCTGAAGTTAAATCTGGACTTCCTCGCAGGCCCCGACGCGGCGAGCGCTGTCGCCAGAACCTGGCACCACCGGGAGTTGTTGAAAGGCCGGCCTTCCCGGCAGCGAGAGGGCGAGGAAGAGACCGCAGAGGGGGGCGCCTGGGTGGCTCAGCCGGTTGGGCGGCTGCCTTCGGCTCCGGTCATGGTCCCGGAGTCCCGGGATCGCGTCCCGCATCGGGCTCCCTGCTCGGCGGGGGGTCTGCTTCTCCCTCTGACCCTCCCCCCTCTCATTCTCTCTCAAATAAATAAATAAAATCTTTAAAAAAAGAGAGGGACCGGCCAGCATCTGGGGCGGTGAGACAATGCAGAGGAAGGGAAATTTCCACCTCATCAAGCTGCGGGAAGGGACCGCTGCCCCAAGACTTCCAGCTCGAACCGCACAAGATTCGGGGGCTCCGCTGGGGGGCCCCAACGCCCACCGTCCCACCCCGAACGACCCCGTGGCCACCCTCCCATCCCCCAGCACCCCCAGGACGCGCTCCTCAGGACCGCGGACGGAAGACCGCGCCCGGCGCTCCCACGCCACGCAGCTCGGGGCTGCCGCGCACACTCGCTTCCCGGACGCCGGGACCCGCTCCCGCCGCCTATTGGCTGCCCGGGCGTCGCCCCGCCCCGCCCCGCCCCGCCCCGGCGCCCCGGTTTCCGTCGCCAAGGACGCGGCGTCCGTTGGTTGCCAAGATGGCGGCGGCGTCGGCGGGGCCGCTACCGCCCCCTCCGCCGGGGCCGGGCAAGGTCGCCGCCGCAGCCGCCACAGCCACCATCGCTGCTGCGCGGGAACCGGGGCTGCCGCGGCCACCCCTTCCGCGCCCGTGACGCGAGGCCCGAGAGACGGAGTGGGGGGAGGAAGAGGCGGCGGCCGGGGCTGCCATGAGGGAGGCGACAGCGGCGGGCGGGGAGGCGGCGCTGAGGTGAAGGATGCTGGCCTGGAGGCCTGGAGCCCGGAGCGCGGTGTCGGGACGGGGCCCCGAGGGGTCGGACGCCCGCGACGGAGCCCCCCGCAGCCCCCGCGTGGGCCGCGGGCGCTGCCGGCCTGTCGCCGACCTGTATCCTTGCCGGGGGGGTGGCCGGGGTGGCGGCGTGGGCGGCGGGCCCCTCGCCCCTGGGAGCCCGCGGGCGTGGGGCGGGCCGGGCGCGGGGGTGCGCCCCGGCGGTGGGGCGGTGGGGTGGGGGGCTCCCCGGGCCCTGCCCGTGTCCCCACCCCCGCGCTCGGCCCCCGGTTCCGAGAAGCTGCGCGCGAGCGGAGGCCCTGACGGTGCGTGCGGTTCCGGGTGCAGACCCCGTGACAGTGAGGACGCAGGTGTGGACGGAGCTCCCCTGGCCGTGCGGCTCCTGCAGCTGGCCTCTCGGCGAGCCGTCCTTCACCCCGGCCTGGGCCGGCCCCCAAAACTGCGCTCTCAGACGTGTGTTCCGAAAGGGATGGGACCCTTCTGTATGGATTTGATTCTGTTCCCTCGACCTTGTATTTTCCTGCACACTGAAGTCCTGTTACGCTGACCCTGACTTACTCTAAATCGGAACATGGGGAAGGAGGGTCAGTGGCTCGCTGACAAGACTGTATCTTTCCATCCCTTTCCTGAAAGAAATGGTTGTAGACTTCATTTTTTAAATTGATGTAGTAGGAACACTGATTAAACATCGGAGAAAGTATTTGTGAATAGAATTAGTAGCAGCTCAAAGGAACAAAACTAAACATTAATTCCAGAATGGTAACAATGGTTTCCTGTAAAGAAATATAGTACTAA